GTTCCACCGGTGGTCGATTTCGTACCACACGTCGACCCGCGTATTTTCCATCCCTGGCACTAGCCTGTCCCGTTCCACAAAGAGTATACAGGGGGGATGGACACACAAGGATTAGCATAATTCGTAATTTAATTTCCCGATAAATTTCCCATGGCCGTAACGATTTCCCTCTCTCTTTCTCTGTCTTTGAAATGAGATGGTATCAGCTTGCGCGATTCCACTAATTCGCGTCTAAGTTTATATCGGTCCAGGGGGAGAGCAGCACGGGGTCGAGATACGATCTCCATTCTTCCTGACACCCCCTCTCTGTTTCTCTGGTCCTCCCGTGTGTCCCCTGGAATCCTTTTCTCTCGGCGGCCGCCTCGTAAAATCGGATTATATCGGCCCTGTCGCCCCTGCGTTGTCGCCGCGCAACTTTATTTGGGAACACCACCACCACTGCAAGCAAGCAGCGATAGTCACGCCTGTGGTCGAGCAACGGGTCAGAGTTCGGGATCCCTTCGTAAACGCAACGTTGGTAGTAATCGAATTTTCGTTTAAGGGATTTTGCCACTGCGAAGTATTGCCGTTTTTCGGAATTTTTTTGTCAGTGAAAGAAAGGTTCAACATAAATGTAGTATTGTCTATTCATTATTACACTTATTGAGAGTATAAAAACATTTTTTCTTTAAACTTTTAATAATTCTTTTGTAATATACATACGTATGTCACTCGGAAGGGAGTGGCTCGAAGAAAAATGTAGACTGTACAAGTTATTTTATTCAAGTATCTCCACAAAAGAATTGCTATCGAAACAATTATCAGCCAACGTTTATATTTCTTCTAATACACTTTCATAATAAACAATCGTATGTATAAAAATCGCCTTATTCCACTGCTTGAGACTTAACAGGTTAATATTAATAATTCGCTGTTTCGAGGGTCACGGAAGGCAACCATTCTGCGGCGAGGAGGCAGTTCTTTTTTTTTTTTTTTTTTATTTTATTTTTTAAAATCCTCACGTACAGGTTTCGGTTCTTCTTCCAGGAGATAGAATCTGTCCCCACGCGTTCAAATCGTTTCTGACCGTCTGTCTGTCTTTCTTTCCCTCTCTGTGTTCTCGAAGGAACGAACGAATCGATCTCGATGGCCGTGTGCCGCATGGAATTTCGAAGGGAAGCTTATTTACGAACCGACCGATTAATAAAACCGAGAGCCGCGCGCGCCTTCGATCATTATCTCCCGTCGCGGGTGGTGTTTAGAGCCGAACCGTAACGCCTGGCTGTAAAATCGTGATGCACCACACGATTTTTCGGGCCGTTATTGGGCCATTGCTTGCGACGTGTATCATTGATCCTGTTCCTCGAACAATCATGGGAGTAGCCAGTTTTTGGACGGAACGAAGTAGCTTTTTCTCCACCCTACAAGACAAAAAAAAATTGGATACCCCTCCCCTTCTTTCCCAGAGTTACGAAATTTATGCGTAATATTTATTATTGCAGTATAATTTAAAACACAACCAACAGCTTCAATTAACAAAACGCATACAATTTCAACGATTTATGACTTTAAAAACAAAATACATTGTGCCTGGCTACGTACAGACTTTTTCACTGTGGCAGTCGATGTGTTAATATTTTTTCCTCCCCTTGACTGATAACCTGGCTACGCCAGTCTATGACAGCAATGACAAAAAGTTCTCCTATCTTGTGGATCTCGAGATTTGTTCGGTGATTTGTGTCGGATCTTTGATCGACTTCGCTGTTTGTGATTAATCGAGAAGCATCTTCCTTGGTGACTGGTGTGGTTGGCATTTTGAATTCCGAAATTTAGGTGACGGCGCTGCCAAGAACTGCGAATGTCGTTAGTAGGGTATCGGTTGATCGTTTAATTCGGAGTGATTTATCGTTGAATTTTAGTAACGGCGGTGTTTGCACATTCTCGTGTGGGCACCTTTCCGATAATTTATCGCATGCTGTTCCCTGAATTGAATCGGGCCTGTTATTAAAATCAAATTAAGGAAGATATATGCATCACCTTGCCGGCTGGATTTCGATGCTCTGTATCTTGACTGATTGAAATACAGGGGAACTTGCGGTTTTTACTTATAGTAAAGGCTAGAATCTAGGCTTTATATCTAGGCGCTAGATGGACTATAAAACATAGGCATGAATTTTCATTTTCTGGTGTGAACAGAAAAAGCCTTTCCTTGTGAAACAAATTCAAACATTCTTGCTTGAAGGGTTCACTGATAGCTACCAATAAGTGAATTGCTAATGTCCTCATCACCTAAGAATTTTTAACCCCCAAAGGGATTTTAATTCTAGGGTTTGAAGTCTACTGGTAACTCTCAGTAACTGAATTGTTAATGTCCAAGGCTCCTAGGACTCTTTGACCCCTAAAAGAAGCAGTATTAAAGTCTGGACACTCTACTGGTAGCCCCAAATAATTAAAATAGTCAGTATCCATCTCACCTAAAACTCTTTGGTCTGCAAATAGGTTGCAAGCATGCAGGGCCTAAAGAGTCTCTGCATCGCATAGGCCCAGCCTTCTTGTCAGACCCAAACGTACACCGTCCAATCACGAAATTAAAATCTTCCTCTCGCGTGAACTTGTTATCGCGAGTCAGAGCAGAGACAAATCTCGGCGCGGAGATATGAAAAGTGGTTGTCGTCGTAGCTTGCACGTCGATCACCGACGACTCGACAACGATGGTGGGTAGAAAGGTGTCACGGACGACGAAGAAAACGGGTGTACGGCCGAATAAATGTCTCCAACCCGGGATGAGTCACAAATCCTAATGAAAATAATAATGGCCCCGAAAGGATTCCGTTCTTTCGTTCGGTCGGGGAACGCGGATAAATTTACTGCGCGATCTCGCCTCGGATAAGGCATACCTGGGGGACACCTCGTCGGGGGTTATGGACCCTGGGGGCCATGCAACGGGTGGCGCGGAAACCACCGTTCTCGGAGAGGAGGGGGGGGACACGTACAGGCCCATAGTCCCCCCCCCCTCTCCATCCTCCTTCTATGTCCTTGTCTTGCGTCGTTCCACGTGTGGGATCCGTCGCGTCTCGTGGAAATAATTCTTGTCCCGGCGTCGGACTCGAAACGAGGATTTTCACCTGCCGAACGGATTTATCGCCGGTCCCTGGTAGAGTATCACACCGTGGTGGCAAGGTTTTTTTGTTTTTATTCTTGTTCCTCTTTTGTTTTATGGCGCCACCTTATGGATTGTCGTGTTATGGGAATGTCGTGGTGTTGTATGAGAGGATTAAAATCGTATATCTGTACCTACCTGCACCGAATACTCCTGAACTCATTCCAAAATCCATTTGTCCGTGTCACAGAGGATCTGAAAGTCAGAAGATCCCAAACTCATAGGATCCCAAAATGGGATGATCTCAAAATCATACGATTCCAAAGTCAAAGGACTCAAAAATCATAGGCACCGAAAATCACAGGGTCCCAAGGTTAAAAAATCCGAAACTCACAGGATCCCGAAGTTAGGAGATCCGAAACTCGCAGTATCCGATACTCAGGGAATCCGACAATCGGAGGATCCTAAAATCGGAGGCTAGTCTTTCCTAGTATGGTCCCTTATCACATCGGTAGCCAACCAGCATCGAGGGGTCCACCGTTCCCCCCTACGGAGGACACCGGTTCTCGAAACCCCCCCTCCCGTAGACAAGTGTCTCTCGCGGCACTTGCAGCGGACGGTGTGCCGTATCGCGGCGGGCACGTCTAAACGACTTGTAAAACAAGCGGTTAACGATTGCCTCTCGTACCTGGAGACGCGCGGCGGAACTTGGAACGGTGGAAGAAAGGCGAACGCGCGCGGCGCGAAGGAGAGGCGGTTACGGGGCCTGAAACCGGGGCCTCTTCTCTCTCTCTCTCTCTCTCTCTCTCTCTCTCTCTCTCTCTCTCTCCCTCGATTAGAAAGAGACCGTTGTGTGTCCCACGTGGTTCGGCTCTCCGAGGAGGTCCAGCCCGCTAAATTGAGTTTACGAGACACGGCCCGCGATCGTCTTCCCTGGTCCGCACGCCGGATCTCTCCCCGCTTTATATATTCCTATTCTTCCATCGTTCTCTCGGCGTATCCCCTTCTTCCCTCTCTCTCCCCATTTCGCCCTTAATTCGCACACAACTGGTGTGTACTCCTCTCTCTTTCTCTATCTCTTGTCGGTAGTTTACGTATTGCCGACGGTATTATCTTACCCGAGATATTATTCCGTGGACCCCCATCTCCTCTTCCGCTTCGAGTCATTGCCGATCACCGGCTACGAAACACCTTCTTCTCTCCCCCCCCCCCCTATTTCTCCCTTCTATCTCGCAGAGTCCCTTTCCGTTCGTTGTTTCTCGTTCGGATAATTATATTAGACCCGTTTCGTATTGCGTACGGGGAAGGGGATAAAAGCCTTGCGCCCCCAGAGGCAGCTTGTTCGACAGAGGGCATTACGAAAGTGCGAATATAATCGTGTGGCGAAGCCGATTCCCCCGGCTGGAATATTAATTGGGGGATATATACAGGCTGTGTGGGCCCACACGTATTGTTGGCGGTAACGAGATGCCTTCGTTCGATCGATAAGGAACACGTAAAAACCCGTGTGTGTACAGAGAAGGAGGAGAGATCGTTGCCGTTGATTCCGGTCCAGACCGGTTGACGGTGTGGTCGTGTCTTGGGGGATTGTACGGGCATATATGGTGCGTCAGCGGGCGTCTAATCGGTTCCGCGATTCTGGCTTTTCGAATGTTTAAAATCCAATGGTGAATAGAGCCACGACCCGTCGTTCGGACGCTCCTTAAAACCTAAAGGTGAGCTGTAGCAACCCCGTTGTCAAGTATCCTCGTTTAGACCAAAAGGTGACTACAACCACCCATTGCAATGTATACTCATCGAGGCGGAACGATGACTAATGGTCACCCCGTTAACAATCCCCGAAAATTGTCCAGGCAAACACAATTTCCGTCGGGATTCGAATCTCTGGTTTAACCCAACGATCGTGTTCGTTCTGTTTCAGCGGGCAGAGGGAAGACAAAACCCACGGTGGCGGACTCGGTGATTCCAGCAGCGAGAGCGGAGACGAGGCGAAGAGGCAGGCTGTCGGTCAGCAACAACCCCAGCAACCGTCCTCGTGTGCCGTTCAGCAGCAACAGCAGCAGCAGCAACAGCAACAACAAATGGTGGAGCACCAGCAGACGCCGAGCATGTATCAGCTACCGCCACCAGTCTCTGTCTCCAGTCCTCACTCGTACCATCAGGGTCACGGCTCGACCCTGAGCCATCCTCACACGCCGACCCACCACATGCAACACCACGACACCAGCAGCGAGAGCGGCGACGACAAACGGAATCTCCATCATCAGCTGCAACATCATCTACAGGTCGGCGCGCACGGTGCGCACGGTCTGGTGCATCCGACGGCGACCTTGCCGCCGCCGCCGCCCAGCTGCGCCCAGCAGAAGAGCCAGTTGGACTACATGCAGTACTACAGTCCCCAGGTAATTCAGTTTTTTTTTTCGGCAATTTTCAACGATCCCGATCTAATTGGGTGCAGGAATCACGCTAGGGGGTAGCAATGGAGCTGCTGAAGGAGAGTCCTAAGTAGTAGCTCCGAATAAGGAAATTTATTTGTGTACAAGTTACCTGGGAATAGGTATAAGTCAATTGCTAGTATCCAGATCACCTAGGAATCTTTGCCCTCCAAACGGGTTTTAATTGTAGGGCTTAAAGAGCCCGCTGATAGTTACCAATAAGTGAATTCCTAGTATCCATCTCACCTACGAATCTTTGGCCCTCGAAAGGGATTTTATCCTGGGATCTAGAAAGTTCCCTGTTAACGGCCCTCGTAATAAGTGAATCGTTGATTATCCAAAGTCACCGACGATGCTGATGTTCCAGGACTACCTGATAGGCACGCCGACCTCGGCCGATCTCCAGAAGTCCCTTCCTCACACGGCCACGTCGATGCAGATGGGTGCTATAGCTCCTTCCATGGGTGGGCTGAGCCCAATGGGTCCGTCGACGATGCTACCGAACACGATGCAGGGCGTGAACACGATGAACACAATGTCGATGAACGGCATGGGAATGGGGGCGTACCAGGGTATGGGCTCGATGGGTATGTCGACGTCACACGGCGGTTATCACAGCGGCCTCGTGCTTGGTGATTACCATTCGTTGTGACCCTGGGCCCCGGGCAGCCAGAGCAAAGGAACCAAGAGGAAACTGCTGAACGGTGAACTCGTCTCGTAAGGGTCCACCAACGAAACTGACTAAACAATTGAAAGGACACACTCGTTCCACCGATGTCCAATGTAAAACGGGCGATCTACCGAAGGAACGATCAACCGTCCCACCATCCAAGACACACGAAGGTGGTCCTGGGACCTAGGTTTAACTACTGGGTGGTCCTCTTAGATAATTTCGGGAACGGTTTCACCTGTCCTCGTGGATCCCCCGTGTTTCCCACTCGCGAATCCTTCGAGACCCGTTCTCTACGATTCATCCTAGGATCGATAAGAAAGTGGTGGACTACGAGGGATCAAGGATACATCGGTTGTCATCTCCCCTCAAGCCCCAGTACGTGTACTACGAAGAATAGATCGTCGAGTTCAGTGCTCTCCCCGGATTTTCCATCACATTCGGAAGATCAAACACGGGGGAGGGAAACCCTTTTCGCGGAACCGTTAGGAATAGTCGAGAATTGTTTGGACCGTAAACGATCGATTTTCTCTGCCGTCTCGATTTACTATTTTTCGAGTCTTTTCGATCACTCGATTATCGGTCGCGGCCACGCTGACCTGGAGGAAGACCACGGAGACGTTTCTGCTTCCGTGGTGAAATAGCAAAAGACATGTTAGCATTTTTTTTCCCTTCTTCCCTTCGCGTATCGTTGTTGCGCGCGCGCGCATGCGAGACAAGACAGAGCTCGTACACTTTTTCCAGATACGCAGCGGTGGATCTCGACCGTGTATATTTTTTTTTCTTTTTCGCGGATCCAACCGAACAGAACACCCCCACGATCATTCTATCCCCTAATTCTCGTAGGCGCTCAACGCCCGTACCACCTAGCTCCTCGGAATAAGAGACAACGCATACACGTTATTTACGGTTACCAGTAGTCGGGGCCCTTGGACCCCCGTGCACACTTCAGCTGTTTGTAAATCGTACGGGACATTCGTCGGGCTCGTTGAACTCCATGTTGCTGGATTTATATACAGGGTGAGTCAGTAAGAACTACTATCTTAGCTTAATTATCTTGACATATTCAGACATCCTAGGAAAATGAGGTTTTATTGTTTTCTTGTGGCCACCCTTGTTTTTCATCGTAGGCCATTTTAATGTAGGGAACAGTTTAAATCATATTTATTTAACGGTCCGAATCGCCAAGATTCGAATTTTAATAGGCTCGAAGGAATCTTCCAATATGAATTTTAATTCGGCGAATTAAAATGTTCACGGCACACATGAATACATATCAAGATTTTCGATCGTTCGAATCGAATTTCGAATTGTAAATGAAATTTTTCGAACGGAGCACATAATTTCGCTTGAATTCAAATCCAAGATTCCAAGCAGATATTGAAATATGAACAGAGAAGAAAATTAATGAATTTTTTATGAAAAATCCTTCGAATTAATATAAGTTATGATACAAGTGAATTGTTCGTGTGGCAGAATTTTCTTCACCTAGATTCACCGATAATTCTCCAAATTATTGACACGAGAAAAGTTCAGCCCGCGTGTTTCCATTGATTATGGTAGAAGTAACGTGGCCGACGACGTTGCCCTGAGAGGACAGCTTTTCCAGACACAAAATGCATGCTCCTCGAGGAGACGTGACTATGTTTCGAATGATCCCTGAGGCGTGTACGGGCTCCCGGGCAAGCAGCTAATTAATTAACGTCGCTATAACGAACCACACACGCTCTTTATACACAATCTTCTTACACCGTACGCTTCTGTGTTTGTCCTGTGTACATATGTAGATAATACACGCACACATACGCATACACACATACATACACACATATATACACGTGCATTCGAGAGAAGATTAAGTTAATCTCGTTTGTATTAGGTGACTGCCGGGTGCTCGCGGATTCAATTTCCATCCCGGTGATACCCAATTATTCCCAATTAGTAAACTGCGGATTTTATGAATTTATGCTTATAGGGCTCTGAGAAATACAATAAAGAAACAAAACTTTCATCGTATCCAACGAGTTTTCTGTACCTAATAAGATACTTGAGAGGGAAAATAAATTTCTACGATTGCTTCTGTCCTTACAAATTACTTCGGAAACTTTTATTTTCCATAAAAATCCGCAGTCTACTGATTTCGATCTAGATTTTTTTTACGCTCAAACCCTGTTGACCGGTTTTTATTGTATACAGGTTGCTCGAGAATTCACAGAAATCTTCGAGAAATATGCAAGGTTCTAACGTTGTGTGGAAATTCAGAGAACCAGAAATTAATAACAGTGACATAAACATTTGTGTTGACAAACTTCCGAAATATTAGGTGTCAAAACTTTTCTGCAATTTCTATTTACGTATACTCCTTATTATAACATTTTCTTAATTCTGAAATGAATGTCGCGTTTTGGAACGTACTCGGTAAAATAGAAGTGTAGAACCTTCTTTCCCAAATTATTTGTAAAAATTTGTGTTTTTGCATTTGTCGTCTGATTTAATTCTTTATCGTGTATTTTAATTGCGTTCTGAAATTTCTCGGTTTTTCCATCTTTTCCATCACTTTCTATCAAGAGTTTTCAGGAAGGGAAACGAATCGGGGCTTGGCACGTGGGGTTAATTACCGTTTCACCGTGAAAAAGAAAAAAAAAAACGATTTTAATCGTGAGTCGGGGCAAGTGGACAGAAACGTGTAGATTCCGAATGGGTATGCAAATTACCCGCTGGGGCAAAGAAGAGCGACACCGCCGCGTAGAGTAGGCGGAGCAGCTGTTTCCTGCCGGCCAATTGCTTGGTGCCAATCGTCCCATCGCGGACGGAATCAGCAACACCTTTTCCGATATGTTTCGGCCTGGCTCTCGCGAAACACCGGTTCACCTTACTCGAGGATGTTCAACGATCTTTATCGGTTGCAATCAGGATAAAATAAAACGGGAGGAGAATGTCATCCACGAATTTTCGTGTCTGTCCACTTGAAACGATTTTAATTCCTAATCGAAAAGAAAATCTTCATTCTTCGGATCAAGGGAGATTTATAATATACACTACCGTTCATAAGGACATTTAATACGAAGATGGAAATCTGTGAATATTCTACGAATATACATATCTGCCTTTATTAACTTTCGTTGTTCTACTATTCAATTCGCAGAGCAGAGCAAATCAACTTATTAATGAATCCTATTGATAAAACACAAAAGTATAGAACTAACAAAAAAAATCACTAATTATCTTAGACTCGAATACTAATTCTGGAGCAATCTATTACATACAAAGCGTGTACACCCAACAAAATGATTCCGTATCTATCACTCAAATTCGAATTCTCGAGCGAACCGTTACACCCAGACGACAAAAAGAAAACCTGAAAATTCCACTTCCAAATTCCCAGTAATTCGAGTGTATCTCCGCGGCACCCGGTAGAAGATAAAACACCGTCGTAGCATAAGTTAGCCGGTAAGTTATCATTTAATCGCAGTTCGCAGTCTGTACATAAAAAGAAAGAACGAGCGAGAAAGTTAAAGAGATGGATTGGAGGGAGACATAGAGAATGCCGGTGAAAAGTGCGCGACAAATGGGGGGAGGAGCGAAAGAGGGAAGAACGCTTGAGGGAGAGAGGGATATGTAGAGGCAAGAGAGTGAGAGAGTAGAGCAAAGGCGGAAGAGGTGACAAACGTTGTTGGGGGAGAGAACGGAAGAGTTATCGGCTCTCTATTTAACAGACATCTCGCGCGCAGATGTCCCCCGGAATGGATTCCCGTTCGCTGCGACATTGCCTTGTAAGATTCTTATCTAGGATGCTGAGAGGAGGGAAAGGATTTTTCCCTTCGGTGAGACAGTCCTCGGGACGAAACAGGGTAAAGGGAAGAGAAAGAGAGAGAGAGAGAGAGAGAGAGAAATGCCTAGCGAGCGAAAAGAGATACAGCCGCTTTATTGTGTATGCATAGGGGAACACACTAGTGATGGCGATGCATTTGAATTGTATCGATATTTCCTATCGATACGTATTGATACTCAGAGTATTGATACACATATATATATATCGGGAATAACAATATCGATATTGTCGGTATCGATACTTGCAATTAAATTCGAAGTAGTAAAATCGAGAAATGAAAATAAATCGTTTATTTACAGTAGATATTTACTGAAGGCAGATTCTGGGATGATAGTGTGGAAAAAGAAATGGACCAATCGTGAACTTTATGGGATGCTCGCGATTGGTCCATTTTCTTTACAACCTGTTACGTTATCGCAAACGCAGCGATTGTATGGAAATTTCGATATTTATGGGTTGAGTATCGATACTGAAATATATTGTCACTCTAAATATTTATACAAAATATCGATATTTGAATTGGAAAGCATCGATATCGAGATATTGATATTGTATCGCCCATCACTAGACACACACACACACACACACACACACACACGCGCGCGCGCGCGCGCGCGCGCGCCTTTAATTCTGGCTGCGCCGAACTTTCGCGCCACCCGGTTGTGTATGTATATGCGAGGGAATCGCGATCGTCGGAGATCTAGCTTCTTGGAGACGATTCTATGTACATATAATATTTCCATTCAACTCGTGCACGTTTTCATTCTAAAAAACTGATTAACAAAGACGTTTTAAATTTTACTATTTTTACTCTCTCACGAGAACCAGGATTAATGATCGACGTCGAGTATTTTAACATTTTATTTCTTAAAAGTTCCTATGAACGAAATGCAATGTCTGTAAATGAATTTTTCTTTTTCTTTTTTAAATGATTTGGAATCCATGTTGAATCATGTGTTGGTGGAGAATTGTTTTCTTTTGTTTTTAACGCGATCAATGATCGAAACGGAAATTTGAGGTTATTTTCTATTAATCATGGGAGATTCTTTTTTACTGGTTTGAATCTTTAAGAGAGTATAGTATTAACAGAGGACTAATTCCTTTCTATCTTTTTTTTTTATATTGAAATGATTACAATGTACTATAAATTGTATTTTACTTGCGTTCGACAGAATCCATCTTGGACGTAAGATGTTCCAGATTGTTTTTATTCATTATATTGTGG